GACATTATTAATTACATATACATCAATATTTCATGTTTCAAATTATCAATTAATATTACCACTAATATTATTATTAGTGGTAATATTTAATATTAATATGTTCTTCTCTACCAAATATAACTCAAGCCTTTAACATGATTCGATCCTATTTCATGGACTTATGGATACTTTTTTAATTTCAAAAGGTGATGTGATCATGAAATGTTTATGTGATGAAAAGAGATGATGAAAAGACCAAAAAGAGCCACTCACGAATGGCATGGAGCCGAGAAAAGAATGACGATTCGCAACAATCGGAAACCACAACATTGCTAATATGAAAGTAGCGAAAAATTTTACCAATGTTAGTTAAAGACAAAATACTTATTTAAATATCAAAGGGGATTCAAGTGAATACAATGATTTTCTCTTTGAAATTAAACATGCTACGAGTTTGGTGAATTTTTCGACTTTGTTTTCCAATTTTCGGAGTATAGAAATAACTGCCCTGAAAATCAGGTAAAACGTTTGGGTAAAACTTTCAGAAACGTACTGTTTTTTGCGAAGAGCTATATAGAACGAGAACGAGATCTTGCCTGGAATATTTTCGATTGTAGAATTTTCTGAAAACAAAATATTAATCCGTGTCACCCATATAGTTAATGTAAAATAAACATGGCTTGGAACCTATCACCAAGCGTTTCCTGTTTTTCATCGTCAGTTGGTGTTGATAATAAAATCACTGTCGGATGCGGTCCCTATCCATGTTTAAATTCTGTTAAAGATAGGGTAAGTCTTGTATTCGCAATGAAATCAACATACGATAAAAACAAGCAACCCTATTTCAAGCGTTAAAATAAAAAGTTAAAAATCGGTGGATTTATTTTTCGTGTGTTTAATTCCCATGGGAATATACTATACTCTGTTTTTATGCTAATTTTTTTTATTTTGCGCAGCGTAAAAGTATTTTGCAATTTTATTTTTTCCCGTATTTTTAATTCCCAGGGGATATACTATGCTTTGTTTTCATGTCGATGTTGATTTCATAGTGGAAATTTGACTTTATAATGAATCCTCTTTGATTAAATATGATAAGTATCTTGTTTGTGCGCGCTGAAGCAAATTACGGAAGTGGTTTTGAGAGCAGCTGCGACGTGCCATGCAAATGATCATCAAGGCGTTCCGGTTAAATGAGTATGAGAATTGCGGAAGTCTGTTTCGATCTGTTTGAACTATAAAGATAAACAGTACTATATGCTCAGTAAATTAGCGACATAATTGTAATTTTAATTTCGTTTCGATTTTAAATTCTTATGAAAAAGTTTTAAAAATAATTCTATTCATTCTCATGCTTATTTAATCGAGCCTTTGGTTTAGGTAAGTTTAAGGTTTGTATTTATTTCGGACCAGTTAACAAAACTCAAGCCCATGCCCTTTCAGTTAAGATTTTACGTTTCGAACCAGAATCCAAAACTCAGTCTAAGTGGGTTATAGGATAGCTAGTGATAACGTAATTTATCTTTTTATTTTGCTTTTTTGTTTATAATGTAATTTATTAGCTAAATGTATGGAGTGCGAAAGTGTGCGCCGTGTGTATAGGATGCATGGGGTTAGGCTAAACTAAAGGAATCAAAATTTTGAGAGCATGATTTAAAGAGAAAATATCTTTTCTGAACAAAAGGACCAATTTCCCAACACAGCAAAATTTGTCGAGTTTCGTTATTTAAACTAAAATTATAGTCTGCTAGAAAAGTATATAGAAGGAAAAATCCGGATTTGGAGGATTCGTATATTTTTCTACGTAAATTTCATGTAAGAAACTCACCTGTTTGTATACGCGGTCTTTCTCAATCGTGAACCTTTAATTTATCTGTTTTTTTGTTTGGCCTAAAATATCCGATTAATTAAATTAATTATGTATACTTTACCAAAGTTTTAATTCCTTCAGTTTTAAGGGTGGGCAGTTCGGGCTGGTGGCAGGTTGGGCAGTTGTGAGTGTCTGTGTGATAGTGAGGAAAGCGGAAGTTACGAATGGAATGCAGGTAGCTTAGAACCGAGGGAGACAGCTTAGGACTGAGGCAGGTAGGCAGTTGGTAGGAATCAGTGGGGGGCACTTGTCATTTCGGCCATGGGATTCAAAATTTGCATGCCGAGTATTTGTTACTAATGCTTGTTGTTTTATATTTGCTAGGTATGCGCGTGGCTGCTCTCAAGAGAAGATCGACTTAGCAATTTGCATTATTTAGCATTTGCAAGGTTGGTCTTCTCTTTGCCCCGCTACCCCGGCTGGCTCTCCGAGTGCTACCTCTACTTTAAGTAGAAGTACTTTTACTATGTAGTAGAAGTACTTCTGCTTGAAGTAGAGGTAGCACTTGGGGAGCCGGCCGGGGTGGGGGAATTTTTTTTATTTTTTTTTTCAATTCCCATGGGAATTGAATTTTTAATTAAAAAGGAGTCTCTTGTATAATTAATGAACAATTTATTGAAAAGAATTGTAATTACAAATTGAATACCAATAAAAAGAGAACAACCACTGCATAATTATTTAAATAACAATAGAAGAAAACAGAACATGGCACAAAGAGAACAATTAACATCGTGTTTAACACAAGTGAATAAGCACAAGTGAAAACACAACATTAAAAAATTGTTTGCCCGCATATTAACATTAAAAAAGTTAATTCTTGAGGAAACAAGAGAACCTGGTCTTTTCAAGATAAATGTTTATACTTCAAACTAAATATTGTAAAACAACTCTAATGATAAATTTTACGAGTTTGACGGAGAAATCAAAAGCGTAACACCAGCTTGTTTTACAAAGAAAATATATGGCTCAAAGACAAAGTAAATCGAACATGCTCTTTTACCTTTTTGAATACGAACTGTTTTTGGTAAAGTGACCAAAATTTTCGCTTGAGTATGGAAAATGATTTTATCGCGACGTTTAGATGCTAAGAGAAGTCCATTCGTTGTAATGCGAGATCAGTTGGGAAGAAATTGTCGTTGACAACAAATTCCATTGCTTGAAGCAAAGTAATTTCCTCAAAGTGCCTTAACATTTTACAATGCATTGACAGCATACTCCATTAAACTCAGAAAGGATATTTTTAAACATCGAAACATTACGATTAAATCATTGGTTCCATACTCAATTGAACATATATAAGAACATTTGTCATTTCTTTCAAGTGCCAAATTATGAAATATTTAAATTAAGAATTAGACATTATCCCGTTCATTTGGAGCCATATATCTTATATATCGAGCGTCGTTTTTAACCTGACAACTTTGAATTGATTATATAATGTCAATACTAATTGAAATGATGAAAATGCGAATGATGAAAGTTGAACAAAATTTTAAAAGAATGTTATTTAGGGGCGGACCATTAGAAATCCTGGGAGGGGGGGGGGGGGGGGGGGGGGGGGGG